ATTTTGTAGATGGCTTCGCAGAAACAAGATTAAGAAGTTGCGTGGTGATTTGTTTACTCCATTAGTGAAGCTATATTCTCTGTAAGTCAGGAAGCTCACTTTTATATCGATCTACTTTAACTTGACAGGATTTTAACTTTTGCTTTACATTTTTCCAAGCAAGCTTTTTTTTGTTTTGTTTCATATCTTTGGTCCCTTTGGAGTTAAGTAATCTACAGGAAATATGTTCACATATTTAAGGACCATTACTCCTTCAAGATGTTTGAACAAATTTAAACGGAACCTGGAAACCCATTTATTTAAGACAGCTTTTTGCCAACTTCAATGGTTCCCATTTTTTTTTTTATATATTAACAAGAGTTTTTGTTTTAAAGTTTTTAACTGTAGAGATGTATAAAATGTTTCTTATGTACAAATTAGGTTAAATATTTTCTCTCTATCATGTTTTAAAGCACTTAGAGGCGTTCAATAACTGCTACATGAATTGTATATATTATTAATCACCAAGCCATAACACGAAATAAACACGACTTAGAGGAAACAGAGTCAAATTTTGCATGTATATTAATAGAAAGTAAATTAATGATTTTTCGCATAATTCGCAAATTCTCGTAAATTTTTGTAAGACATTAAATGGCACTCACCCTACAGGCTAGTGCAATTTGGCTAGCCTTCGAAACATTTACTCGTGTTGATTTATCCCAAATTTCACTTGAAATCATGTAATAAGCTAATCCACTCATTTAGATCATTTAGAATTACTATTTCATATAAACATGTAAAGATTATGACAAGGAAACGGCACATAGAATATGTAAATCCAAGAGAGGAATATATCAAATTGCTTAACAGCAACAGATCACAAGACAAAAGACTTTAAATTCAAATCCAGAGAAAATCTTCTCATAGGGACTTGAGTAACAACCAGATAGAGGAGCTACCGCCAGGATTCTTCAATAAAAACACCGAGTTGACTCAGCTGTAAGTAACACATTTAAAGGTCCATATTCGATACCATCGATTCTTATTTATTCTAATTAATAGTAACTATCACTACGCGTTTCGACATATTCATAAGCAGCTAGCTTTATAATTGGCTGCGTGAATTAGAGAATAGTAACCCGCAATAGTATATTGAGAGAGAAACCTCTCCCTGCTAGGGTTATGCGTCAAACCTTAAGATGATTGAGACAAAAAAAATTAAATTAAACAAAAAAATATATTTTACTCGTAAGACAGTGCTCGAGCTAATAGAGGGCGAAGTCAACCATGAAAATGGATTGTTTGTGGATGGACAGAGTCAAACAAACAAAAGTAAATAGACTCATTAAAGAATGCTTTCAGTTTCATTTTCAGTGCTCCTCGTTCTGTAAATCCCATTTCTACCCCCTCCCCCCTTCCTCTGATAAACGTGTTTTATTTTAATGCGCGTAGTCAGTATGCAGCCCTTTGCAAGTGTAGGGAAGGGTTCTTGGTTCTCGTAAGCTGGTTCCCTCTTAGACCAGTGCCTCAGTCAAAGAGAACGGGATTTAAATACCTCCCCATTTAATGACAAAATTTTCAACACGCATAGGTTTTTAGAAGGTAACAAGATCAAGAAGTTCCCTGACGATTTGTTTTCCCAATCAGTCAAGCTGCAGAAGCTGTAAGTGAAAGTGGTCCTCCATATCAACTATTGACAAGTGGCACAACACACATTTTAATGCAAATAATGCATATTCCATTTTCATCAAGCAGATCCCTGAACCTCTAAATATCTGCGTAGCACATAAACCGATTGAAAACGCCCAAAATCAGTGACTGATTGAAAAGATGAATGACTAAATCTTAGGGGAGACAAGAAGTGGTTTACAACATCAGGTGCTCCAAAGACCAAGCCAAATGTGTTATGCAGTAAAATTTAAACAAGGGTCGCACTGAAGTCGAATGAACTGAATTAGAAGTACTTTCGAGGTCACTGAGTACTTGTTAATTCCTAAATTATAAGCTCTAGACAGGCAATCGGTTCAAATGATTTTGTTCCAACCGATTCAAATTAGATTAATTGTAACACTTTTTTCTTAAATCTTCTGTTCATACAGACAACTTGACAACAACAACCTGGAAAAGATACAGAAGGGTTTGTTTGACAGTTTAACAGCATTGAAGCGCCTGTGAGTTTAGGAAGGAAACTTTCAATACAAAAAAAATAGTAGCTAAAATTGTTTTTTAAAATAAGCAGAACCTCTGCAATGAAGGTGGAAAATTATGTGTTTTTGAATAAAGAGGGAAAGCATGAAAACATATCGCTAAAGATGGCCGTACGCTATGGTGTAGGCCTCTTTCATAATGGCGGGCGTGATTGTAATTCATTTGAGTTATGCAAATAAGCCATCCCAGCTCCACTTTGGATCAAAACTTCTATTGATAATGAACTTGTGGCGAAGGCCAGAAAGGCTCATTTACATTTATGCGTATTCTTATTGGATGAATGAGCGAGTTAATGCGCAGGGTGGTTGTTCCAAACACTAAAACAATTAATAACAAACAAAACACAGTAGGAAAACGAGATTGTCAGCCTCAAACTTATCGAAAGCTATCAAAAATCAACTTAAAAAAAAGTCAGGATGTTGATCAGTATTATGCAATACTAATGTAAGTATTGGAAACACACCAAAACCAGACGATGCAATGACAATTTAACTAAATAAAATGGATTGTCGCATCATTCCAACTTTTATTCAGATGGCTGCAAGACAACAGAATTGAAACGCCACACAAGCAAGTTTTCAAAGATTTGACTAATTTGACCGAGCTGTGAGTTTAGTAGATACAATACAATGTGTTTATAAAAGTGTTGGCTCTTTATCACTTTTTTGTAACTTATATCAGAGATGATAAAAGAGGCCAAGTGACCATGTCACAATCAAGTGCAACATAGCAATCCTAGGACGACTATACATAATAAAAGGCAGCTTTACCGAAAGCTTATAGCATCGAAATTCACTGGTCTCGGGTTCTGACCTGTAGGCGTTCCTCGGTAGTCTTGGGTTGCACTACTCTACACCATTTCCCTCCCATCAGTTGGTGTTACTTGAGTAAAGAGCATGAAAACTATCCACAGTAGCTTAGTGCACTTTCATCATAATTGTAATGTAACAGCAACATAGCATGCTACAAGTGCCTGTGAAACGCAGCGAAATAATTCAGAGGGTTTCCCCATACTGTTTCACTTTTTGTGGGATTTACATTTCGGCTGGCATTATTTTTTCTGAAAGACTAATGCATTTAACCTTGAAACTTTCAGGGATCTGTCTAATAATGAAGTTGAGGATCTCCCTCAAGAAATCTTCAGCAATCTGGCAAAACTCAAAATACTGTAAGTCAACAAGAAAAACAAATAAAAGAAAATTAAAAGCACGACGAGGAAGGGAATTTTCTCTCTAAAATTTTATCGAGTTGCAAAACTTTCCCCGTTTCTGTCTGAATTTCAACACACACATACACAAAAATAGAAGTTTTGAACTTAAAATCGAGTTTTCATCAAATGTTATCACTCCATATGTCTTTCGAATTGATCTAATTAAACCTGTTCATTAAAACGTGTCTCACCGAATGAATGCAAAACACCTATATTTATACTACACAGATATGTAAACATATCGTTATTGGGATCTTATCGGCTGCCATCATTATATACGGGAAACCAGTTCTGCTTTGCAGTTAAAGGTGGTGTATGTTTAACTGTTTTAATGTTGCAGGCTTTTATCCAACAACCAACTAAGAGATTTACGGCCAACGATATTTGCTAACCTAACCAAGCTAAAGACAATGTGAGTAGCGATGGATAGTTTAAAGGACTGAATAATTGTAAAGGAGGATTATCCTCTCTTGTTAATTAGTAGTCGATTGATAGATTGATGGAATGATGAATTTTTGGGGGAAAAAAAGGAAACGAAAACATTTACAGCACCTTTCAGAAGATACCCAATGTAAAGTACGAATATATAGTTGTCTAGGGGGACATTCCAAGAATTGCTTTTGAATTCGATAATTCTGGAGCTATTGCGGTCATAGACAGATTAATTCAGTAATTTAATATAATGCCAAAAGAAATCGAAGATTGCTCTCGTTTTACTTTAATCCCTCTATGATCAATCTAAAAACCTGTGCCACCCTATCAACCAATCGAGCACCAAACTAAAACCAAACGCTACTTGATCTCTCGCATTTTCCGGCGCGTAAAGCTTTGTGCTTGAATCGTTTATACTTCTAATGTAGACTGGCTCCATAGTCTCCCTTTGCTTTAATTGGTTATTGTGATTGCTTTGGCTCTTACTTTTGGACATTCATTCAAAAGGTACTCTGAGTACCAACCACTGATATAACATCCAATGTTTAAATTAAAAGAAAACTGGCCAAGAACATATCCATGATTTGCAATTCAACAGAAAAATTGAAAAGAATGAGATAAAGGAGCTGCATCCTCAACAGTTTCGGGGACTGGTAAATCTGTATGACCTGTGAGTAGTTCATTAACATTTATGTATTCCACAAGTTTTGAATCCAGGCATCTATCAATAGTGAAAATATACTATCTACTATATACTATATTTATTAATGCAAGCGGAATAATGCCTACTCCGATCCACCCTTTCATGTTTTTTTAAGAAATCCTTTCATTTCTTGGAATTTCTGATTTTAAGTCATGATGAGGGTCTATATAGGACCTTTTTCTTGGTGCTAACGGTTCTTGTATAGGATGGGCCGGTTTGAACATCATGCACGTGGCTTTTCAGTACCGAGTTTATTATGTTATACTTCCTTGGAAATTTTGCAGTTCATGCGCTGACGATACTCCATAAAAGAAATCTCCTGATTCCCAAACTATCAATTATCTTTCTCCAAAAATTTATCGTAATTATATTGCAAAATGTTAGTGAGTATTCTCATGATCCCTTTGATTCTTATGAAAACGATTACAAATGTCCCGTTCTTTTATCCATTATGTCCGACCTTCGTTTCATTTTCTTCCTTTCTTCACTAGCTATCTATCGGGAAACAAACTCAGATACTTCCCAAAAGGAATTTTTAAAGGCTTAAAGCAGCTATTGATTTTGTAAGTAGACTATGAAATTCGTTTGGTGAGTAACATAACCAGAAATCCCATGCAAGATGGCTGCTAAATGGCCGCGAGCATGCGCTAAGCGCGAAAGTGCAGGTTAAATATCGATGCAAAGTATAAAGGAAATAAGGGGGATATAAACATATTTTGCATTTTGTGCCATTACTTTCAGAAACTCAACGTTCCCCATCATCAAAATAGATAGAGTCAAGTTCAACCGTATTTCAATCGAAAGAAAAGTGAGAAAAAACTGGTTTAAGACGGTGCGTTTTTATTTTAATAACCTCATACTTTCCTCTTTCTCTCATCCCTTAAAGTAGGGCTTACCTTCATGGTTTCTTTGGTCTGCTACGAGGAAACGGTTTCACCGATTTGGTTCCCTGTCATCATTTCCGAAAGATAAGAAGTTTAACTCGCAAAGAAAACCTTTTTTTTTTTTATTTTATTTTATTTTTTTTATCCAAAAACTTCGCTTAACACGGTGCCTTTTCAATTTGTAAAGTGGCGTTTTCCAGAAATGCGAGATGCGAGGAAATGAACTCATTACTAAAGCAAAAATTCTCCTTCGAGCGGTTTGTTTTCTTTTCACTTTGCCTACCATTTTGTTTTAACACATTTTAATTACCATTTATGAGGTACCTTAAGATAAAAAAAGCCGCTGTACAGAACAATCGGCTAAAAATCGAAAAAAAAGCGAGAATTTTGAAGGAAAATATAGCTAATATTAAATGCTATGTCTGATATTCCCCAAGAACTTCCTTTCAACCTAATAAAAATATTTTAGTGGAGACCTCATTGAAATATGTTATAGATTACTTAAAGTAGCAAATGTAGCCTGAACCATCTACAAGAATTGAAAACAGACAATGGTTTCTAAGAGAAAGAGAAAGAACGAACCCAAAGGAGGAAGGAGAAGGAGCACGAAGGAGCACGAAGGAGCACGATCGAGACATTCGACTCGCCCGTACCGAGACCTCCGCCGTTTCAGAGCATGCCCACAACACCGGACATAAGCCACTCTGGAGCGAAGCAAAGTTTATTGATCGTGACCCTCATTACTACACCCGCAGGGTCAGAAAGGCAATTCATAAAAGACTTCATCCTAACAACATCAACAGGGATAGTGGAATAGAAACTCCAGAAGCGTGGACACTCACGATCAAAAATCACAACAACAGGAGAGCCGTGCGACAGCGGACAGCCGACGGAGCAAATCACTGAGTGAACAGCAAGGATCGAAATGCTCCAATCAGAGCTGTTGAAAAAACAACTAATCACAGCAGAGCATCATGCTTTATGAGATCACGCATGACCAGTCGACCTCATCGCCTGAAGAAGACTAGCAGTATGCAGTCGAAACGTCGCGATATACGCCACACATTACTAAATCGTGAGACAAACGAAAAACTTAGCTTTTATTGTTATTCACCACGATGAATAACCTCAACCTTTTCTACGAAACGAGCTCAAAGTACACCAAACATAATTGTCAATACTGGGAGCAAGAAATCAGTGTCAAGCGTGCTGGTAAAATGAGACAATCTGAAGCAAATGTACCCGACCTGGGAGGCAATGACTCACCAGATGCATCATCATCACAAGTTGAGAAGAACAACCCCAAGGGAATGACAGAGATCATGCAACAAAAAAAAGAAGGCGGCAGATGAGAATTGGAGGAAGAAGAAAGGGAAAAGGAAAGGGCAAACAAACAACAAATCGTGGTGAGAGCAGCTATAACAGTGTTATGTACATAAACAGAGAAATTTTCACAACCAAACATGAATAACGATTTCGATGCTTCTAAGTAACGTTCTGACCTAATAATACAAAATAATTTCTTGGGAGAAGGGTTAGTGCAGTGTTGACAGCTTGTACCTAAACCCATGTAGAGCATGTTATTGGCTAAAAAATTTCGTGCCACTTTTTCACCACGGGCAACATGTATTAGCCTCGAACTCTGATTGGTTCATTGGGTTGTTTACGACTGTCGTGATTGGTCAGAGTAATTACTTTGGTTTTACTCAAGTGCAAACTGCTCTAAAAGCATGTATTGACATTCTGTAATTCAATCACAATATTGCAATTGAACACTTGTTAAAACTTAAACTTACTTTTTCAAGATGTTATCTAGGCTTAGCTACAAGTTTTCCCTCCACAAGTTTATGTGTCCGTGGTCCCAAGCTCAAAAAACGTTTAGCTGTAATAGGGAATACAACCTGTGTACCATCTTCAAGGTTGTCTACACAAGTGTCCTAATCGGAACATTCTTTGAAAAATGAACAACGGTTATAGTCATTCTTCTCTAACAAGATGCAGCCAGAATTAGAGCTGGGTTGCTCTCTTTCTCTGAAAATATGATTAAAGACGTAGTGTCTCATTTCTATCACAGTTGTGGGTGAGGCTGTCTGATGTTTACTATTGAGATGCTGGAGAATAGCAATTGCCAGTAAATCAGATCCTTCTTTGATTCTTTCTTCTGTGGTTATGGATGTTCTGAATGCCCCGAGGAAAAGAGTTAGGATCCATTACTGTCTAACATACATGCGATGTCGCCAATAAAGCAGAAAATTGCCTTAAACGTGTATGATGTCTTAAAATTGCTGTCTTCACTTCTAGCCCCTCAAACTATTTTGTTTTAAAATCGAGTAGTAAAAAAAACATTAAGTTCTTATTTAACTTTATGACTGAGTAGAGACATGCTTAAAGATGAGGTACCTTAAAGTGGTTTCATTGAGGTTCTCTTCGACTTCCCAGGTGTCGTTAAGGGAGCTGTACCCCTTCCAACGAATAAGGTTCTCATTCTTAGAGAAAAAATACACACAGAACTTCTTGGTGTACGGTTGAAATCTTACGTATGCTACTCACTTCAAACAAGCGTCATATTTACCTTTCCTCTATTTTGTCTGCAACTCAACACTCTTTCAACTTGAAAATAAGGGCTTTTCCTTCCTTTCGATCTATTCTCCATGAAATCTGCAGAACTAAGAGAATTTAAGCTGCGGTAAAAGCCCTTCGAACGATTTTTCCTTCGTCCGTCCGCCATATTGAATACCGAAATTTACGCGCCCGCCGTTCAAGCCGCTGACTGTATACGATTTCTGGTTATGTGTTTTTCAAATAACATATTACGCATTTCACCTTAAATGATCATTTACGAATCAATGTCGAAACATTGTACCTTCCCTGTTACTCTTTATGATTTTGTTGCACTTTATTTTTGTTAGAGAAATTCTTGAAAACGAAATGACTCAGGTAACCATAGACAACTTCAAAGAAATCAAACAGTTGAAAATTCTGTGAGTTTTATAATTAATCAAGTGATGATAATCAAGTTGTGAAACAAGCCTTGTTACCTTGAGGCGTCCAATCAATTGAAATATAATGAAAACACTCTAAATCGATGCTTTTATTGTAAAAGCTTCTTACCTCATCTACAACTTACGGAAAGTACTTTCCTGCCAGCAGATTGATTACTTGCTTAGTGGGAGAAAGTTTGTAAAGAAACTTTGGTGGTGCGTCAGTGTGGGGTATTTCAAGACATCTGAAGTCATTCGACATTAAAACTCTGATTGGTTGAGAGCATACAGTCAATATACAAAGGCGTGTGAACTTGACATAATAACCGATATCTGCATCAGGTATTGGGTTATCATGTGGAGTTCAAAGTCTGACTAGTTGCCAAGCCCCTCGTCAGTGTAACGTCCTGAAACTTTTCCAAACTCAGAGAAAGATGTCTTCTTTTGCAGAGTGTTTTAAAAAATATTCAATAAAACAGTCATTGAATTCGGTTTTCTCATGATGTCATGGATTCTTAAACCTTGTGTCTGCTTCATATGCCTTGGCCTTCGGCTTCGGCAGTAACTCAGATCTCAGCATTCTGATAATATCATGGTCACTCTCTTCCAATATTCAATCATTATCAACTGAGTTGGTGATGTAAATTGGCCACCCTAAAGAGCCTCAAAACTGACCTCTTGAGCATTAGCCCTTCGTCCGAGAACACAGGAATTTTAAGTTTTAAGTGGTTTATATACAGGAAAAAGACGTTTCGCGATTAGAAGGAACCTGGTAACGAGAAATACACGAATAAATTCGTTAAATGAAAAGGCTTCGTTGACACTTGGGGATTGTGGGGATTAAGAGAGCCTACTTTAAATATTAATTTTTATGGTGGAGTCTTGAGACTTTTGATCATAACATTTTTATCTACTAATTTTTAATTTCCAGGTATATGCAGTACAACAAGATGAGGGAGATTCCATATGGTTTTTTCGATATGCTGAAGGATATACAGCGAGTGTAAGATTTTGATAAAGTTCATTCGCAAATTTTTCGTTTTTGAGCTAAGCTATAAATTCTGAGTAGACACATCGTAGAGACATTCAAACTAAGTTTTTTCAAAAAATAATTGAAGACTTGGATTCTTAAAAAAAATTATTTTGTATAAGTCAATTGATAACTCCAGCCATCAGTTTCTGATATATTCTTAAAAGCAAGTTCTTGTCGATAAGGTCTGTGAAGTTTTAATGAAATAACTTCCCTGAGTGGACGATGTTTTACAATTTTAGGAGCCTCGACACAAATCTGATGTGTTGTCATATGCACAAGGAGGACGCTGACTGTGCTTTCACGTACAACGACGACTTTGCCAACTGTGAGAGCATGTTTAAGAATTCTGCCCCAAGGAAGAGTATCTGGGTGATAGGAGTATTTTCTCTGGTTGGTGCAGCGTTTGTTATCACTTGGCGAGTGATCTTTAAAGAAAAGAACGTGGTTCAGTCCATCATGTTGCTCCACTTAGCAGTGTCCGATGGTTTGATGGGTATTTACCTGATCTCTCTTGGCACTAAAGATCTGTTGTGGAGAGGAGAGTATTACTTGCATGACTTCCAGTGGAGGTCTGGTTTGTCTTGTCAAATAATTGGAGCGATCTCCCTTCTGTCAAGTGAGGTTTCGGTTATGATGATGACACTGATATCTGCTGATCGGCTTAAAAATATTGTGTTTCCTTACCAAGGTGCTTCTCTGAAACCAAAGGCAACACATATCCTGTGCATCATCATATGGGCAATTGGCTTCCTTATGGCCTTTTTGCCTATGTTTGGTATTCAGTATTTTGAAGACCCATTCAGGTACCATAGTTACTATGGTAGAAGTGTGGTATGTCTGCCCTTGCAGCTTACTTCTGATAAGCCGGCAGGTTGGGAGTATTCTGTTGCTATCTTTCTCGCTTTGAATTTTGCTTTTTTCTTGTTCATCATGGGTGCTTATCTCATGATACTAGTCAAGTCTTACTTGTCTAGCCGGCGACTGGCCCGTCAGGGTACTGAAAGAGAGATCCAGGCCAGAAGAGCAAACTTTAGGAGGGAAACGGCTCTTGCAAGGCGGGTGTTCTTCATCATCCTGAGTGATTGTGTGTGCTGGATGCCGGTGATAGTGATTGGTATGAGGACCATCATCGAGAAGTCTTACGAAGCGCAAGGAGACCTCGCTGTCTGGATCGCTGTATTTGCCCTTCCGATCAACTCGGCCTTGAATCCTATCCTGTACACCTTGTCAACAGAACAGGTGCGTTAAGCGCTTTTAATCCATTATAAGTAGTCAAGATAACAAAATCCGTTAGTAGACTTATAATGGCTAGTTACAGGAAGGGTAATGGTTTTCAGCCGACTATAAGCAGTGTATAATAATGCTCAAGGCTGCTCTATTCACCTGCAACTGACACTGACAATGTTTCAAAACCATTACACAGCAGAAATTCATTAGTTTCTATTTTGCCATCGGGGCCCAGCACGAGGCAGTGAGCAAAATCTCGATTACTTTTGGCTATTGCGTATCCAGGTCAGAGGCATTCTGAAGAACAAAATGGAAAAAGTCTGGAACTACTTGAAGACCGTTTTCACCTGCTGTGGTCGGGATCAGGAAGGTACTATATAATTATTAGCTCCTGATAAGAATAAACCGAAAAACGATGTAAACCAACAGATTGCTCCAAAAAAAGTTTATTGATCTATTGATCTATTTATTGAGTCACTCAGTCATTAATCAATTCACTCATGCATGCATAGAGGCATTCGTTTAATCATTTACTCGCTCGTTCGGTCCATCCTTCTTTTATTGGTCAGTTCATTTGTTGTACGAAATAAATATTTCTTGATTCGATCATTGACTTTTCTTCGCTGTTTTCTTTAAAAGGCCAAGGAGATGGGGAACAACCGAACCAACCGGGAGTAGAAGACAATGGACAACATGGCGGTGAAGAAGGTAAATCCTAACCCGTATTTCTAGAAATATCGTGAAAACTATAAACGAGGGAAATAAAGGGCAATCTGTGACTAAGAATATTTTTTTATGTCTTCTCTCTTCTTTGTATGTTCCCTGTTTTTTTTTTTTTTTTTTAATTTTAAAATTAAAGGTCGAGGAGAGGGAGAGCAAGTTAACCAGCACGGAATGGAAGAAAATGGAGAACATGCGGGCGAGGGAGGTAAAAACCTTTCAGATGTCAGTTAACATATCATACAAAGTTCAAACGAGGGCACAGGGTTAGTCTGTATACATTTTTTATCTACTTTCTCTTTTCAAGGACAAATTGAGGGTGAAGATATCGAATTGGCGAGTGTTGGTGTGCATCATCCACAACAGGGTAAGGCTAGAGTTTCTAATTTAATGTCAAGTTTTCAATGCTATTCTGTTAGTTTATATTGTACCTGTGTTCCTCTATAACTGAAGGATCTATGACTTTAGGATGTTTTCATACACACAAATAAATTTTATCATTATCATTTTAATTACTCAACCTTTCTTGTCTATTACGTTTTAGTAGTTTGAAATTGTAGATCTCGTTCTGCGTTCGTCACAAAAAATCCCTCGTTCTATCACTTATTTGCTTCTTGGCTCGTTCACAGTTTTCTTTTCTTTGCTTTCTTTAAAAAGGCCAAGGAGATGGAGAACAACGGAACCCACAGGGCATGGGAGGTAAGACATTTTTTCCTTCTAATGAACACAGTACGGACATGAAAACTGTGAATGACAACACAGTGGCAATCTCTGACTATATTTTTTATTAACTATTTTTTTCAAGGGGAAGTCGAGGGTGTAGTTATCGAACTGGCTCATGTTGATGTGCGTCATCCACAACAGGGTAGGCTGAAGTTTCTTCTCTAATGTCATCTTTATGCAGATAAAAGCTCCGTACTGAAGTTTTCGTTGCTGTTCTGTTAGCTTGTATTGCCAAGACTCTACAATATGTTTTATTAATGGTAGTTTTTTTGTTTTTTTCTACTTCTGGAGGGATCTGGGTCAGATGGATATTTTCGTACATACAAATCAACACAGTTCATATACATCATCATAGTTATCCAACCCTCATCGTTCATTACGTTAGTTCTAAATTCTACAAATCTCGTGTTCTAAGACAATTTTGTTAGGTTTAAAAGTTTTGAAAAATTTCTTTGTTATTTTGTCTCCAGTTATTGTCATTATTTGAAATAAAGAAAAACAAAATAGTCTGACTTGATTTTGAAACAATCACTAATAATGAGATAATGGAAAATAAGGTACAATATTGTTCATTAGTTTAAAATAAAAAGAAAGACAGTGTTTACCTTTTTGTTTCAAGGAGTACTTAATGAAGCTGAAAAAATCGAACCGGCACCTATTGAGAATACTGATCTAAATCAAGGTAAGTTGTCTTACCTTATTTATTAAAAATGTATAGCCAACCTTTTTTTTTATTCAGAAAATTGGTCGCTATTCTTTGTTTGTTTGACAACTCATTCAGTGTTACTGTGGTAGAGATAGACAAACCTTCTAAGGTCTATTAAGCTCTCCTGCGTATCGATCAGTTCAGAGTCTCATTACCTCCCTTAGGTATTGCCAAGCTCTAAATGAAGTAAATTTTTAATTTCACAGTTGGCTTTCTTACCACTATAACTGGTGGTCAAATCAAAGAATTTCAATTATCCTCAAACAGGACTAAGAGATGAAATTTTTTAATGCAAATGAGCGAAATTTGGGCGCAATAGATTAAGATTTTGCATAACAGGTGGCGGCCAAAATGAAGGGCAATAAGTATGAAAACATCAAGTTGAGTATAGATTCAAGTAATTCTCATTTGGGAGCTTTAACATTCTTATGCAATTCTTTCAAGAAAATTGCCAAGCAAAAGATAAAAAAGACCAAACACTTAAGAAATCCCAAAGTTTGACATGAATCTATTATGTGTAATATTACAAGTGTTTGATAACTGGTAATTGAAATGTCACGAGCACGAAAGCAGGGTATTTCGGGTCTTTTATCCGTTTTTAATTTGGCTTTGGGTTCGTTTCGCAAAAAGTGCAATGTTCTGTTGCGAATTTTGATGAGTCTCGATAGAAAAGAGAAGGCCATTAAATATACCCGATGCAAATTTCTTTGGCAAAAAAACAGTTTTTCAAGTAATAATTACTTCCACTTTATTATTCTATCCTCTTTGTTTCGCTGACATTTTGCAAAAAAATTGTAATTTTTTCGTTCTTATTTTTATTCATTTTTCCTTTATTTGCCGTTTCATCAAATAAACAAATTTTGTTGCGAATTTATTTGGAATACCTCGGTAAAAAAAAAAAAACAGCAACAACAAACAAACCAACAAAACAAAACGAAAGCAGCCAATTCGGTTTATTTCTCCAGCATTACCTCGCGGATTACCCTACTGTTATTTATTTATTTTGTGTTTTTCTTACATTTAGAGTGTCGTTAACCAGTTTCATCAAGTTAAGCAGTTGCCACAGCGCATTAAGTACCTTATCAAATATGTAATTTTTTTACTTCGTTTTTTTAATGTTAGGAAAACGGAACAAGAGTTTGAAAAAAGGGGACGGTAAATTCAGTCATTCCACCGCAAAGAAGTAAGTAGTGAGAAGGGGGATATACACAGGTTCAAATTCCTCCAGAGATATAAACTGTCCGTATAACAAAGTTGACGGACGTTGTCACTGACAAACTAACTGCTGAATTATTTGAATTACTGACTTATTTGCAAACTAGCTAGCTCCTTAACCTATTGGCTAAACGGTTGAAAGAGTGACTGTCGCTAGCGGACTTACCTCACTGACTAACTGACTCACTAACTTCCTTACTCACTGATTAACCAGCTGACGGACTGACTGACTGAATTACTGACAAAAATGACTGAGCAACTTATAAACCAACAAATTACTACTTGACGGACTGACTGAACGAATGCTGGACAATCGCCAGAACAACTGTATGCCCAACCTAGCAGCCAACCAAAAGATTGATTGATAGTTTATTTTATTGACTGATTGACCGACTGATTAAATGACAGAACGGGGCTTTTTACATAAATAGTTCTTTTGCAAGATTATGGCGATGGAGCGTTCCTTTTCTTTTCCTTGTTTTACTTTTGTTTTTTTTTGTTTGTTCGTTTGTTTGTTTGTTTTTTTAAACAGAAAAAGGGAAAAATCAAGATCAATGCGTCAAAAGTCACCTTCGGCTACCGAAGCTGTCGATGAAGAACACACTTTTGAAGAGGATACAAAACTGTAGGCAGTTAAATTCGAGGAAATTATTATAAATTCTAAGCAATCTAACGAGAAGAAATGGCAATTAGAAATCGATAATCTCGTCTTTTTTTTTCATTAAGCGTATGAGATACAAAATAGAAAAAAACAGTTTTATTAATTTGGCGTCTATTAGAGGTAAACGAGGACTTAGTTATATTGAACCAATATGTGTACGTAACTTAGTTGAACCAAATTTCACTCGGTCTTTGGCTGTCTTTAAAAAAATCCCTAACAAAACGATTTTTTTTCTAACGATAAGTTATAAGTTTTCAGATTTAGACAATTTAATTGAGTTAGTGTTTCATATCTATGACTGATATGGTCTCCATGGCCACTTCACATATCAGTGACATCATCTTATGGATCGTGTCTACAGTCGCAAGAAGTTTCAGCTTTCCCTCACCTAAACAAAAACACCCATGCGGTTGATTGGGATCCTTTAAGACACCTGCTATGAGGAGTCTTTTGAGGGCAAATTAAGACAGCTGGAGATGGGAAGCGCATTAAAGGTAGAATTATGTAATTGAATTGTGTTAATTGGCTTACAACGAGAGGATGTAATACCAAGAATTGTTATGGGAAGTCATTATCAAATATTAACTTCTAGAGTGCCCTTTCACGGTGACTTGGAGGTTATGTAACTATGATGCCATTCTACCAGAATTTTAGTGTTTTAGGCCGGCGGAATATTCTAAAATACGTCTCAAGAATTCAGTAATCTAGGAGTAATTATGCGTTTCAAGCTAAACTAAGAGAGAGAGAGCCACTATGATGTACATCAAAGATTGTGCATTTAAAAGATATTGGGTAAAAACAGTGAGTTTGTGTCAGTGGAGAGCTAAGGAACAGTCTGTAGTGGTTTGTAGAAGATAATCACGGTATCGCCTAAAGGAGTCACTTCTTAGTAAGCATTTTTACGCATTGTTTAACAACGTAGTTCGGTTTGTAGTAGTGTAGGATTCTTTCTGTCTGTTAGAAAATACCGTGACAAAAGATTGCAAAGTGGTTTTCAAGAGTTTTGATTTGATGCTTGCTCATTTTTCCTGCTTGATTATGTGCTTCATTATTAGAACAATACCAGGTTTTTCTTCATATTTTCTGCAGAGTTCAGAAAATGCATGCTTTCTGACTCATTGGATTATATAACATGTTGACCCTCATTAAAAACAAAAATAATAACCTATGTGCTTATATGAGATAAGAAAACTTTAATTAGTGAAGTTTTAGCAAATTGATCCATTGGCATATCAAAGAAGGTGCAAGTTATGATAGCACCTTTCAGCTCATAGAGGTTGATTAAAAATTTTCGTTCTTAGTAATTAGATAATAATATAAATGCTGTATTCAATTGGATTATTACTGTCATTATTATGATAAAATAAAAATAACGAGAGGGATCAATAACACCTTGGCTATTTGAAGTGCTGTTTATTTTGTATACTTGGATATTTGCAGATGAGGCGAGTGTTTACAAACAGAAAATCAGTATGCAACAACGATGGAGTTATTTCTATTTCAGAAGGATAGCGCTTGGAGCTAATACAGTATAGTTTTAACTCGGCTTTGAACTTTGGCTATCGTCTGACAAGAGTTGAATAAGAACGCTAATTTACGTTATTATAACGTGATCCTCAAAGATAAAAGTAAATGGGCAGTCCGAGTTTTGAAGGTTTTCATGTACGAAAACAAGAATCAAACACATTTAACAC